GCTAATAAGGTCTTAGTTAGGAACACGTCTACTCATAAATATGATCCTATATTCAAAGGTCCATTTGTTGTAGTAGAAGATAAAGAACCAAATGTTGTAGTTAGGATAGACAATAGGTTAGTTGAAATTCATAAAAATAGGATTAAATTGTTTATTGAGTGAAAAAAAAATTTTTACAATTTTTTTTCGTCATTGGGGGAGGTGTACTGGTATAGCAATCGATATTTCGAAACAATAACAATTTTGATATTTTAAACAATTAATTTGGAACACCACGAAACTGCTACGTACAGCTCTTCTCGATGCATATATTGTAATATTAATAATTAGGTAAGTTGTTTATGAATAGATAATTAAACATGGTATTCAGATTGGACACAGTGTGAATGAATTCGAGTCTTGACTCTGGTCTTGTCTGGAAATCAATCGACTTCGAGATGTTTTATTCCTTATCCTTTTGACTTATAATAAAGGAACCTGAGAGGATAACTGAGTTTATCACAGGAGTACTAGATTTGATTTTTTTCAAATATTATTCGTTCTAGGGGTGAAACGTCAACTCATCCCCATTAGCAAGAGATTATTTCGTATAGATATGATCGAATATGTTACAAAGAACTGTTTTTTTTATATTTCATCCTGACAGTCGAATGCGAAGTAGTAGATTTGTTTTTTTCAAATATTATCCGTTTTAGGGGAGAAACGTCAACTCTTCCCCATTAGCAAGAAATTATTTCGTATAGATGAGGTATAAATATGATCGAATATGTCACAAAGAACTGTTTTTTTTTTCATATTTCATCCTGACAGTCGAATGCGAAATACTAGATTTGATTTTCTCAAATATTATTCGTTTTAGGGGTGAAACGTCAACTCATCCCCATTAGCAAGAAATTATTCCGTATAGGTATAATCGAATATGTCACAAAGAACTGTTTCTTCAATATTTCATCCTGACAGTCGAATGCAAAGTACTAGATTTGATTTTTTCAAATATTTTGGCACCAACATTATTCCTGCTTCATATCAATGATCTGTTGGGAGTAACAACTTGCCCCATCCACAGCTTTGCAGATGATAGTACCCTCCATACTGCGTTCTCTTCCAGAATTCCCATTTCTTCCCAGGAAACTAAGAACTCACGGCGCAGGCCAATGCTGTCAATGAAGATCTTGCTGAAATCACAGCCTGGGGAACAAACAACCTAGTTGAATTCAACGCCACCAAAACTCAAGCCTGCATTTTCTCTAGAAAGGCGGAACTCAGTATGCCCGATATTGTAATGTCTGGTCGTTCCACTATCCCCACCAATCCCACCATATCTATGCTCGGAATTTCCATCAGCAACACTCTTTCATGGGACAATCATGTCAGATCCATCGCAAAAGCTGCTTCACAAAAGCTCGGATTCTTGTTTCGTGCGAAAAGCTACTTTACACCTCAACAGCTTCTCATGATCTACAAAGCGCAGATACGGCCTGTTCTAGAATACTGTTGTACATATGGGGTTCAGCACTAAAACATACGCTGATGCTCTTAGATTCCATCCAGAGAAGAGCCATTCGCCTGGTGGGTGACGCCACACTCATTCACTCTTCGACATCATTGGAACACCGTAGAAAGGTCGGCGACCTTTCACTTTTCTATCGATACTTCCACGGGAAATGTTCTTCGGAAATCTCTGCTATCATCCCTTCACTAGCAATACCAATCAGACGAACTAGACAAGCCCAGTCAGCACATCCCAATCAGCACCAGACATCTTAAAGACGTACATTTTACGACTTACTTACGTCTTTACGTCCAGGGACGTATAAAGTATGTCTTTAAGATGTAAATCCATGTACATCTTAAAGACGTACACGAATTTACGTCTTCAAGACGTACATTTTAGGTCGTATCCACGTCGTTCCTCCCATGTCGTATAAAAGACGTCTTAAAGACGTACATTCCAGTACGTCAATTCGACTTATAGAACAATAATGTAAGTTATTTTCTGAAGAAAAACAAAAGGTCATCTCTTCACGATTTTTATTTTCAATTGTTCAGTTTTTTCCTATTTTCAACAAAAGTGATGTTTTTGAATTTTTTCGTCCGACATTTTGGAGCCTTAATCGTGTTAGATTCTCGAGTTTTTACAAAAAAATCATATTCTCCGACCCTAAAAGTCCCATAGTAATCAATTTTGAATAAAATCGGACTATAATCACTAAACTCGTCCGCCATTTTGAAGCCGACATCTTGGATTTTTCATTTTCGACAAAAGGAATTATAATCTCTGATCCCGAAATCCTTCAGATGCCAATTTTGAATCAGATCAGAACATAATCAGAAAACCGCATATGCCACATCGTCCGCCATATTGGATCCGCAATTCTGTTTTTTTCCATTCAATAATAATATCACAACGAATTGTCACCGGAATAATATTTACTTGCCAAATTTCAAATCAATTGGACGATTTAAAGTGAGTCAAATTTAACTTGCACGTTTTGATTACAAACAAACACAATGACATGTTAAACTAAGTAAAAGATTGTTATGTGATATATAGAACAAACAGAGAAACAGAAGAAGTGAATATGGTATAATCATCGAAGTCAAGCAACAAAGAGCGCGGTTAGTACTTGAATGGGTGACCGCTTGTGTCTACCGTTTGATGAAGTCGATTATTTCCTTTTTTTTTTGCTTGTCTGCACTTGTTGCTAACTTCAGTGCACAGGTGAAAATCAACTGAAACTATGTGATTTTTCCGTAATTTGAAAGATCAATTTGAGGTCATGGACCAAAAACACCTAAAAAAGACGTCTTAAAGACGTACATATTAGTGGAAAATGTACGTTTTAAAGACGTCTTGAAGACGTCTCTTGGGCGTAATATGTACGTCTTTAAGACGTACTTATGTCCCGACATGTACGTCTTAAAGACGCCTTTAAGACGTACTTTGGCTGATTGGGATCCTTTCGTTGTCAACCTCGAAAGATGTCGAACAGCACTTTATCAAGACTCCTTCATCCATAGAACGGCTAGGCTCTGGAATTCATTGCCTGTGGAAGTATTCTCAACAACATATAATCTCCAAAAGTTCAAAAAAAATTCCAATACCTACCTCCTGTCCCTATCCTCCCTAGGAACGCACGATGTTCTTTAAACATTATAGGGATTCCCTTTCGTGCGCTCCAAGCGATAAAAAAAAAATTATCCGTTCTAGGGGTGAAACGTCAACTCATCCCCATTAGCAAGAAATCATTTCGAATAGACATGCTCGAATATGGCACAAAAAACTGTTTTTTTATTTTTCATCCTGACAGTCGAATGCGAAGTACTAGATATGATTTTTTTCAAATATTATTCGTTTTAGGGGTGAAACGTACGTCAACTCATTCTTATTAGCATGAAATTATTTCGTATAGATATGATCGAATATGTCACAAAAAACTGTTTGTTTCATATTCCATCCTGACAGTCGAATGCGAAGTACTAGATTTGATTTTTTCAAATATTATTCGTTTTAGGGGTGAAACGTCAACTCATCCCCAATAGCAAGAAATTATTTCGTATAGATATGATCGAATATGTCACAAAGAAATGTTTCTTTCATATTTCATCCTGAAGTACTAGATTTGATTTTTTCAAATATTATCCGTTTTAGGGGTGAAACGTCAACTCATCCCCATTAGCAAGAAATTATTTCGTATAGATATGATCGAGTATGTCACAAAAAACTGTTTTTTTCATATTCCATCCTGACAGTCGAATGCGAAGTATGTACTAGGTTTGATTTTTTCAAATATTATTCGTTTTAGTGGTGAAACGTCAACTCATCCCCATTAGCAGAAATTATTTCGTATAGATATGATCGAATATGTCATAAAGAATTGTTTTTTTCATATTTCATCCTGACAGTCGAATGCGAAGTACTAGATTTGATTGTTTCAAATATTATCCGTTCTAGGGGTGAAACGTCAACTCATCCCTATTAGCAAGAAATTATTTCGAATAGACATGATCGAATATGTCACAAACAACTGTTTTTTTTTATATTTCATCCTGGTTCACCACAAAGAATTGGTTTTTCTATATATTTCAAAAGTTTGATAAAATATAACAATGTCAGGAAGACCTTAAAACCTGCTAGCTTTCCTGATAAAAAGTGTAACAAAATGTTAATATATTATTGTTCAGTCAGTCAATTATCATATTTTTATTATTTGCCTATTGCTTTCAATTGTGGATCATTCTACATGCTATTATCAGCCTTTTTGTGGAAATGAGACATTTATTCAAAATTTTCGATCATCATAGTACAATTTTTATCAAAAAACGTGACACTGGTCTTTGGGTAACTTCGGAAATCCTGGCAGATGGAAATCCTGCTGCCAGGCAGCCAGATATAAGTTTTATTTAAAAAATGTGACGCCACTGGTTTTCGGGTAACATCGGAAACACTGGCAGATGGCAATCTTAGCAGCTGCCAGCTGCCAGGCAGCCAAGTTCACATGGCTGAGTGAAACAGGAAACTGTGACTGGGAACAGTGGGAACTGGAACTCGCAAGTACTGGAAGCTGAAAGTGCATGGTTCATAAGGAAAATAAAACAATAATAACTAGAATTCTCGAAGAGACTAATAATTATTTTATATTTATCATCAGTTAAGAAGGAACATTCGACTAGTAAGAGATTACCTATTAATTTATGTGTACCAGTTCATATAGTTTCATTATTTTATATCAACTAGGTAAATAGGAAGCAGTTACAAGACCAAATAAAAAGGTTAAAATGGCAAGAAATGCTGAAAAAGCAATGTGAGTTTCAGTACTTGGATAGAAACATTCAAATTATCATAATTTAATCCTATACAATAGCAAAGTTAATGAAAAAAATAGTCAACAATGACATGACTGCATGATCCACCAATCTGCACAAAGCTCAATATATATTTCATTTAACAATGATAAGAGAAACATACTTTTGATATATTAAAATTTTGTTTTCTTCAGGACAACTTTAGCACGCTGGAGGGCAGCACAGCTTGGAGAAACTGAAAAACATAAAAAACGTAGACCTTACCTAGCTTCAGAATGCAAGAGTTTGTATGCATGTGAAAAATGGAGAATGCAGATCATCAGAGAAATTGCTAAAAAAGTTGCTCAGATTCAAAATGCAGGTCTTGGTGAATTCAGGATACGAGATCTCAATGATGAAATCAATAAACTTCTTAGAGAAAAGAGGCACTGGGAAGACCAGATAAAAGAATTAGGAGGACCAGATTATCAAAGGGTTGGGCCTCGAATGTTAGATCATGAAGGAAAAGAAGTTCCTGGAAATAGAGGTTACAAGTATTTTGGAGCTGCTAAAGAATTACCAGGTGAGTCTTATCAAAATGTAGCATATTCAATAGACTTTCAACTGAAACCAATTGATTACAGTCATTGTGGAACTCCCTCCTATGATTGTCCTATACTGATCATCATTTTCAGTTGATGTGAAGTTATCCATGATTTTCTGCATCTTTATGACATGCAGACTGGCAAAAATTAAATAAAGGAGATTTCACATGCTTCATTGTCAATTTTCCAACATTTTCAACCATGGTTTTTCAAACTATGCTTTTTTAACTCAATATAGTGCTAGTCACTGTTAAACCATTTCCCAATAGCATATTAAATGCTACAACTATTCCAAAGGCCTTGAAGATAAGCAACATCCCAATCAAAAATGTAATAATTATTCACAAATATGTAATTATTGATCATTATCAGAAGAAATCCATTGGCATTTTACAAGATCTCTAGAATAACATATTCTATATTTATATATATCAAGACTGAAACAAAAGAACCTGCACTAAACTATAGAGAAAATGGCTCTTGATGAAAATCACTGAATTTTTGGTATGTTGCAGACTTTGATATACTGAACAGATATTCCATTGAAGGAACCTCAAAAAATGGACAGTTTTTCCGATATAGACCTCCAAATGTCATTTTTTTTTACAAAAATAAGTATCTGAAAATGGTTGAATTTTTGGCATGTTGTATATAGGAATGAACCATAGTGGAAGGAGAAGATGGTGTGCTCAACAGAAAGCTCAAACTCGTCTTGTTCTGCGCATGACGTCAGCTGGGATATAACTGTCATTGATATTATTTGTTTTTGTGATTGATGTCCTTCAGATATTATATAAATACTAAAATTTAATGAAATAATTTCGAAATGCCCACTTTTGTTTCGTTTCTGGTTATGGAAATTCCAACTAACATACAAAAGGCACAGAATGGAGACCTAATGAAACGATGGGAGCTTTCTGCCGACAGAATATAAACTCAAATAATGGTACCTACCTTATATTTCTTATATCCTCATTCCAAAGTATTCACCTATCATATTATCATCACATTCATATTACAGCACGTATTTCTTCAAATAATTTCCATGCAAATTGTTTCCAAACAAGTGTGAAAGTACGGTTCTCTTCTCCTTCCACTATGGAATGAACTGATGAAAAAATCCAATTGACCTTACCTCCAAAAATTGACAGTTTTCTCGATATTGACCTCTAAATGTAATTTTTTCAAGAAAAGAAATCTCTGAAAATGGCTGAATTTCTGGTATATGTTGTAGATAGGAATGAACTGATGAAAAAATCCAATTGACCTAACCTCAAAATATAGACAAATTTTTGTTCACTGTCGCAGACCATTTTATCTTCAGATCTCTTTACAAATCGTTAATAATTATTGAAATTCACAATATTTCATAACATGAAAATTGTGGGATTTATGTACTGTGTATACTTCAGTATACAACACTCCACTCCTACTGTGGAAATAAATCCTTAATTCTATGAAGAATTTGGAAATATTCTCATTGGTTATTGAGCAATAAAAATCTAAAAGTGCTTATCGGTATCGGTATGTCAATGTCACGTCATCGGCGACTATATAGTGTTGCTGAGAGTTGATTATTTTGATTATTTAAAGAAATATATTTGGGTGTATCGAATTTTATAATAGATGGAATGATCAAAATAAAATAGATATATGGCATAAATTCGACCAAAGTGTATACCTACAACCCCATTGATTTCGGAAAGACTATAACCATCTTTCAAATAATATTTATTCAATTACATCCTCTCTTCGGTTTTCTTCACCTGTGCTTGTATCATATGGAGAAGATTTGTTTTAAGAAGAATGAAAGGCCAAATACTAATTCGAAAACGGCTACTTTGTCTATTGATTATAAAAAAGTGTTTAAAAGTGTTTTTAACCGCCAGCTTAGTTGCAAAGCAACCCTCGAAAGTCAGAGACTTGTGTGAGTTAAGATTATTGTTCCATTCATCTTATTTTCCAAACGTACACTTGGAGGTCAATATCGAAAAAGTGTCAATTCTTTGAGGTTAGGTCAATTGAATTTTTTCATCAGTTCATTTTTATCTACAACATACCAGAAATTCAGCCATTGTCAGAGTTTTTTTTACTTGAAAAAATTACACTTGGAGGTCAATATCCAGAAAACTGACAAATTTTGGAGGTTAGGTCAATTGGTTTTTTTCATCAGTTCATTCCTATCTACAACATGCCAAAAATTCAACCATTTTCAAATACTTTTTTTGCCGAAAAAATGACATTTGGAGGTCTATATCCGAAAAACTGTCCATTTTTTGAGGTTCGTTCAATGGAATATCTGTTCAGTATATGAAAGTCTGCAACATACCAAAAATTCAGCAATTTTCATGGAGAGCCATTTTCCCTATAGTTTAGTGCAGGGTCCTTTGTGGTGTCAGATGAAAAATATAATCTATAAATTATAATTATTTTTTCAGTATAACTTTGTTGAAAATTAATGTGCCTCCATGAATTTTTCAGCAAAATCTCTAGAATAACTGAATATATGTATTTAGAGATTGAAATAAAACTTGTAGTGTATGAAAGCTTCTAGGGGTCACACAATTGAAATATTTTTTTCCAATATATTGACTGATTACATTATTACCACAACTCAATACGGAAATGGACAATGATGGAGATTTACTTAACATCTCAAGAAATCATACTGATTTTATAATAAAGGATTATTTTCTGAGTGGCATGCATTATGAGGAAATACTAGCCTTTCTGTATTTGAGACATAATATGGTAATGAGTTCATCAACACTCAAACGTAAACTGAGAAGTATGAAATTGAATAGAAAAAGGAATTATTCCACATTATCCACTGTGATCGATTTCATCCAAGCTCAGTTGAAGACATCTGGTCAATGGGGAAGACCACTGATTTTTTATAACGACATTATCGTGAACTCTATACTGAAAAACTACCAGTGAATTAATTTTGAATTTTTTCATTCATGCTAAGACCATGAAAAAAATAAATTAGTATATGTCCATTTCAAAACACACAATTCCTGTGCCATTTGAAATTTCATCAATTCATTGGTGTGACTGGTGCGACGTCTTAGTCCCAACACGCCTATTGTCCTTGAACTGACCAATTACACTGCAACACTGCAGAATGACGAGGTATCAGAGAGAGATAGCTACAGTTCGGGACTAATACGTCACGACTCCACCATCATATTTGGCTGTTTGAAATATCAAATGAAATATGCTGATTTCAAAACGATATAGATTCGATTCCCTTCAACTTCAATTCATAATATCGGTTGTACATAAAATGTAAATCATGATTCGTCGATTGAAAGAGGTTTGCACGGATTTCTTCCCTCAGTGGTCTTCCCCATTATGCGGATATCCTTTGATTCACCAGAGATGTTTACAGAATGGACTTGTAGTGACATAGAATACAGTTACTTTTTTATACCTATATTTTTTGATAATATAATCTGCTAGAATCATGAAAATCCACACCTCTTGCAAAAATATTGTTACATCTCAGATATTAAACATAACATGGCAATAAATCGTAGTGGATATGGAGAGAAAACGCACAAAGATTGAAGTAGTTTTTCATCATCATTTTCCTATTTTACCCGCCTCTAATTTGGTATTAGAAAGTAGTTGAATTTTTTTAGTCACTATGTAATTCCCCGCTCGAGTCTTTCAGTCCTTGCTTTGTGTTGTCGCTGACAGAGTTGTCGCTGGCAGATTTGCACACTTCGACCATCAGTGGGGTTCTATAGTCCTGGAACTTTCCTGGCCGTTAGGATTAAATTTTCAATATATTGAAAAAAAAAAAACTATATTGGATATTTTTTTCAACATAATATTGGATTTTTTTCAATATATTGGATTTTTTTTTCAACATATTGAATTTATTTTTCAATATGTTGGATTTTTTTTCAATATATTGGATTTGTTTTTGCAATATATTGATTTTTTTTTCAATATATTGAATTTTTTTTCCAATATGTTGGATTTTTTTTCGATATATTGGATTTTTTTTCAATATATTGGATCTTTTTTTCAATATATTGGATTTTTTTCCAACATATTGCATTTTTTTTCCAATATATTGCAAAAAAAAATTATTTCAAATGTGTAACCCCTAGACGCTTTCGTAGTAGTGACCTAGGAGAATATGTAAAAAATATAATCTATCATTTTTATCCTTTTTTTTGTAATAGTTTGTCAATTATTGATGTGCATCCATGAAATTTCCACCAAAATCCCTAAAATAACTCTATAAAGAATATATTTGCTCTAATTTTTTAAATACTTTTTCAAACATAACATATTTAAATATCCTGTGCATTCATGAATTTTTTGCCTAGAATGAGTCAATATACCTATGTAGATACTTGAATGAATTCGCAGTGCTATAGGATAATGTGGTAGTGGAATGAAATGGATTTGAAACAGAAAGGACACTATAAATACACAATTCAAAAACTGCTGAATCCTATTATGTTCTATATTTTTTATTGACATTTCAATCAACAACCTTTGTTTACAATTAAACAAAAGCTAATTCTATAAACAGAATCGCTAGATTATCCTACACTCTCCTTCAATTCTGTAATACCTCAAAATATATTTATAATAGATTCCTGAAGAATTCAAATTTACTTTATGACAATGCTTTAGTTAGGATATCAGATTGCTGTTAATCTGAAGAAATATATTTCAGAACTATCTTTGCCTCATGAACACAGTTTTTCACAAAATGATATCTAATATCAATGTGTTTCATATGTTTTGATTCTCCTGTACTTGCCATTTTAATGCAGGATTGGTTATCTTCATAAACACTTATTAGATAAACATTCACATTCAGAATTTCTTGATAAGAATAAACTCTCAGTTACTGCTGATGTCAGTGCTACATACTCAGATTCAGCACTAGACAATGCAACTACATTTTGTTTCTTCGTTTTCTAAAATACTACATTATTATTTAATTTTA